CCCGGCACGCAGACCCGCCCGTCCCGAGGCCTCCGGCCCGTGCGGAGCCCCGACGCGCCGGCGCTCTCACCCCAGATGCCCGGCCTCCGCTCCCGAGCGGACCTAGGAAACCAGACCGTGCCTCTCAGGGCCAAGAAGGCGGACACCGGAGGGCGGGGCTGGGCCTGCGCCTGCGCAGAGTGGGCATCGTGGAACCCTTCCCAGAGTGCTGCGCGGCAGGCCGCCCGACGTCGGGAACTACCATTCCCATAATCCCTTGCGTCCTGGGCGTACGTGATTTCCATCTTCGTCCGTGGGTCGAGTCCTGGCTGCCCAGGTGTTGCCCACATCCTCAGAGGTGTGGGCTTCACGGCCCCCTGCAGTGCGTGGTTGGAGCAAAAAGCTGCAACAGACACCAACAGTCGCAGAAACATGAATAGGGACTGGACGTTAGAAATGTTAAGAAAAATCATTATTTTCTTAGTGTGACGTTGGGAGAGGTAGGAAATTGCTCTTATAGGCCAAAGATACACACTGAAGTCTTTACACTTACATATTTGTAGTTTAAAGTGGTATCTGTAAAATAACTAAGAAAAAGTATTAGAGAAAGTATGTTAAAAAAAGTGAAGAATGGTTAAATATGTGTGATATGTGCAAATGATGCTCATTTTACTATTTTCTACTATTCTGATATTTTTCATCTACAATAAAAGATGTGTAGGGCAACGTGGAAGAGGAGCAGTGAGGAGATTCTACTATGCCTCCCATAGGACTCCTTTTAACCTCAAAGCTGCCCAGATAAATATATGTTCGTACAAATATCTCTTATTACTATGGCAGTGAAATAGAACAAATACTAGAAAATATAAAAGAGTAACATCTGTGACCAGCAGGGTTTATCTGAACTGGAAAGGGAGGAAACTAGATGTTCAAAATTACATGAGTAATGAATGAAAACAGATACAAATCCCAAATAAAGTGATTAGTATATCAACTTTGCATTTCTTTTCTTTCTTTCCTTTTTTTTTCCAGATGGAGTCATACTCTCTTGTCCAGGATAGAGAGCAGTGGCACGCTCCCAGCCACTGCAACCTCAACCTGCTGGGCTCAGGCGATCCTCCCCCCTCAACCTTCCAAGTAGCAAGAACTACAGGCACACACCACCATGCCTGGCTAATTTTTTTTTTTTTTTTAATGTAGAGAGTAGGTATTGCCAAGTTGCCCAGGCTGGTCTCGAACCAATAGGCTCAGGCAATCCTTTCACCTCGGCCTCCCAAAGTGCTGGGATTATAAGTGTGAGCCACTGCACCCAGCCTAAACTTGCATTTCTGTGGAGAAAACTTCCTTGAAATTTGTGTGCATACATCTGACTTTTTTACAAATTGGGACATCTGAGTACAATAACATTGATTTTTTTAAATTGATAGACTTTTTAGTGTAGTTTTAGGTAGACAGAAAAGCCGAACAGAGTTCCTATATACCCTGTCTCATCAAGCCACATACAATTTTCCCTTTTATTAACAACTTGCATTAGTATAGTACATTTTGTACAATTAATTAATTAAGTCTGCAGTTTACATTACCTTTCACTCTTTCTGTTGTACGGTTCTATGGGTTTTCCAAATGCATAATGTCACTTGGTGTGACTTCCACCAATACAATAATGTAATATCCACCATTCTAGTATCATACAAAATAATTCCACTGCCATAAGAATACCCTAGGCTCTATCTATTCATCTCCCTTTCTGAAATCCTGCCAACAACTCATCCTTTTACTGTCTCCATATTTTTGCCTTTTCCAAAATGTATAGTTACAATCACACAGTGTAACTTTTCAAACTGGCTTCCTGAATTTAGCACTATGTATTTAATCTTTCTCCATGTCTTTTCATGGATTGATAGCTTATTTCTTTCTCTCTAAATATTATTCTATGTATATAACAAGCTTATCCACTTATCTATTGAAGTACATCTTGGTTATTTCCAAGTGTCTGCAATTATGAATAAAACTGCTATAACATTTGTGTGCAGATAAGTTTTCATACCAGTTGGGTAAATATCAAGGACCACAATTTCTGGATAGTGTAGTGATAACCACATTCAGCTTTATAAAAAAAACCTGCCAAACTGTCTTCCAAAGTGACTGTATCATTTTGCATTCTCACCAGCAATGAACAAGAGCCTGTCCTCACCAGCATTTGATACTGTCAGTGATTTGGGTTTTGGTTCTTTTAGTAGGTGTGTAGTGGCATCTCATTGTAAATCTCATAATTTTCAATTCTTGTTTGATACAGGCTGCCAGACTCCTTATATGCTTTATTTGCCATAAATATGTCTTCTTTGGCAAATTATCAGTCTCACTCATTTTTATTGTGTTTCTATTTTCTAATTGTTGAATTTTAAGAGTTCTTTGTATGTTTTGGCTAAACTGTTTTTTTTTTTTGTTGTTGTTGTTGTTTTGAGTCAGAGTCTCACTCTGTCGCCCAGACTGGAGTGCAGTCTGGCGATCCTTCCGCCTCAACCTTCCAAGTGGCTGGAATTACAGGCACACGCTACCATGCCCGGCTAGTTTTTTGATTTATTGTGGATCTGAGGACTCACCAAGTTGCCCAGGCGGGTCTCGAACCCACGGGCTCAGGCAATCCACTCACCTCAGCCTCCCAAGGCGCAGGATTACAGGCTGAGCCACCAAGCCCGGCTTAAACTGTTTTTTATCAGATATATCTTTTGTAAGTATTTTCTCTGAATCTTTTGTTTTTCTTTTCATTCTTTTGATAGTTTTTCACAGAGAAGAAATTTTAAATTTTACCTATCAAATTGTCCAATTTGTTCCTTCATGGATAATGCTTTTGGTGTTACCTAAAACTCATTGCCAAACCCAAGGACAACTAGAGTTTCTCCTGTGTATTGTCTAGAAGTTTTTAGCTTTGTGTTTTACATTTAGACCTGTGATCCACTTTAAATTAATTTTTGTGAGAGGTATAAGATCTGCAGCTACACGCCTTCCTTTTTTTTTTTTTTTTTTAATGTGGATGTCCAGTTGTTCCAGCATCATTAGTTGAAAGACTATCATTTCTCTATTTCATTGTCTTTGTTCCTTTGTCAAAGATCAGATGCTTATGTGGGCCTACTCCTGGGCTTTCCATTTTGTTGCATTGATCAACTTGTCAGTTATTTCACCGGTACCACAATATCTTGATCACTGAACCTTTATACTAATTCTTGAAGCCAGGTAGCGTCAGTCCTCTAAGTTTGTTCTTCTCAGTATTAAAATGACTATTCTTGATCTTTGTATTTCCATGTAAACTTTACAATCAGTTTGTTGGTGTAGACAGCATAACTTGCTGAGATTTTAATTGTGATCGTGTTGAATTTGTTGATCAATTTGGAACAGACTAACATCTAAGCATGTTGAATGTTCTTATCCTTTAACATGGGATATCTCTCCATTTGTTTAGTTGTTTTTTTTCAGATTTTTATATTTTATCTTCTATAGATTTTTTACTATTTTGTTAGATTTATACCTAAGTATTCATTATTTTGGTGTTGATGTAAATGGTAGGTTTTTAATTTCAAATTCCAATTGTTCATTTTTGGCTTATAGGAATGCAAGTGACTTTTTAATGACAATCTTAGATGCTTCAACCTTGAAAATAATCACTTATTAGTTCCAGGAGGTTGTC